CCCACCAAGAGCCGGGGTTTCTCTTGGGAGTTTTTCCTCCCTACTGTCACCAAGTGCTTGCTCAAGGGGGATTTGTTGGGTTTTGCCTCTATAATATTAATAATAGTAAGGTCTAGACCTTACTTTGTAAAGAGCCTTGAGACAACTTTTTTTTGTGATGTGGCCTTATACAAATAAAACTGAATTGAATGCCTTATGTGACAGAATGCATCACACATTAAAATAGTATTAAAAAACAGTTCTTCTTTCCAGTCTTACTTTCCATGAAACACCTTCTCCACATAGGCCTTCATGAACTGCCTCCTCTCCAAAGTCTCAGCGTCAGCATCCTCCCCACTGTGAGCAGATGAAGATGATGACCTCCTCAGTTCCCACACGTGAGCAGTCGGGTCCATGTCGTTCTCACTGTCTGCAGACTCTGTAGCATCGCTGTCATTGTCTCCTCCCTCTTGGTGGTGGTGAGAGCTGGGCTTGGTTGGCACCATGGGCTCTGGTAGTAAGGGCTGCTGGTAAATGCCAATGGAAGATGCTGGCTCTTGGGAGAAAATGTCTGTATGCCCATGGTGTTGGCCTGCATTAACACTTAGAGCTGTGGCCTCTGAGGGCAGGTCAAAATCTATTAGGTTGTCCACTGCTACACCCTCCATGTTGGAAATAAATCCCTTTCTTTAGAACATGAGGGAGTTCAAAGTTGGAGGTTTCAACTGGGGTCCCCGTTGTTACTGAATTTGGGCAGAGGGTTTGATTTTGCAGACCCTCCCACCTCCTGACAGTGCTGACATGAAGTCAACTCACCAACCTAATGCACCTGTTAACAAAGAAAGGGAAAAAAAAAAATCAGCATTGCAATCATCTTTTACATTCAGTTCAAAATGTACTAGGCAACTTAACAAACCCAAAGACTGATGATGACATCTTTAGTTTTGCAGGTATCGCCAAAGTATTAGATCAATTTAAATTAAGATCTCAAGGTTGTAATAAATAAAAAGTCACCGTTGTTATAAGTTATCCTGAGGAAAACATGACTGCATTATTGCTAAAATGTTCATTTTAACACTATGGCCTCAATAATAAACTTATCATTGAATTTATACATCTACGACAATTTCACCAAAAACTGAAACATGTTGAGCTTCATGAACACAGATGTTAAGGCAGAAGTGTTGCACTGAAGTACAGACAACTGTACACGTGTACCTAATAAAATGGCTAATGAGTGTATATCACTATATAAACTGCTCAAAAAAAAATTAAGGGAACACTTGATTACTTTATCACAGTATAACACCGAGTCAGTTGAACTTCAGGTACATTAATCCATCCAGGTGCAACTGGTGCAATGGAGAGACAAAAGCAAGACGACCCCTAAAAAGGGAATGGTTTTGCAAAATGCTCTCTCATGGTCCTTCCCGACTGATTCCTCCCAAGTTTTGTGCTTTGCTTGTGTCCTCATCACTACTAGAAGCATGAGGCAGTACCTGCAGCCAAATCAAGATGCACAGGTAGTCCAGTTACTCCAGGATGGCACGTCCATATGTGCAGCTGCAAGAAGGTTTGCTGTGTCTCCCAGCACCAGGAGAATGGTCGTTACACCAGGAGAGCTGGACAGGGCCGTAACCCAGCAGCGGGACCAGTATCTGTCCCTTTGTGCAAGGAGGAACAGGAGCAGCACTGGGCTGGGGAGGCGTATCCTCGGAGGGCCGCACAGACTTTTTATACTGTTTTCTGATGTTATACAGTATATAGGCTGAACAATAAAAATCACCACCACCACCACCACTACCAACAACAACATCGATAAGAACAGCCAGACTGAACAACAATGATAATAATCTTTAGGTGCAGACGGCCCTGAACCAGACCTATTTCTAGGACCAGGACCAAGGCTACTTCCTGCTATGACAAGCAATAAATACAATACAATGTGGCAACCTTTTTGAAACTACAATCTCTTTCTAAAATGTTTTCCACATTTAAAGAATGTTACCTGAACAAGAGATTTGTGGGCAGACCTTACAAACCTTCCTGATAGGATACTCTGTTTCTTTATTTAGATGTCATAAGGGGAGACCTTAAGCAGCCACAATCATTTCACATAGTAATGACACCACTGCATGTCAATAGACAAAGAATAAAGGAGAAAACAGAGGATTTTGAAGAGAACACAACACCTCAATTTGTGCATAAATCTCATTACAGCTTTTATGTTGTTCCCTTTTATTCATGAAATCTCAAATAACCATTGAAACTACAGGCAGAATTGCTTACTAGCATTTTTCTAGCTCATTTCAGCATTGTTATCATGCAAGTCATGTAATCAGTGATTTGAAAACCACAAAGACAGGAAGCTGACATCTTAAACTTTATATCTGATCTGTTCAAACTATTTCCCACAATCAGAAAACAGCATGACTCACACATCTATTGTGTAAATCAAACCGCACTGTAGTCAAAACAGGTCCCCTCTGAAACAAATATGTAGATGGCACCGACCGCCTGTCCTTCATACACACATAAAAAAGCAGGCTTTTGCTCCTCTATCATAGGACACCATTTGGTCTTCTGATCGAAGACACAGCTGTAACACTGTTAGCATAAACACACACACACACTTCTACAGTATCTTTGTGAAGACACTGGTTGACATACTAACCACAGCCATCTCCGCTACATGCCTAACCCAGACCCTTCCCTAGCCTAACCCCAAACACACCAACACCAATTCTTAACCCTCAAACAGGTTTTTGAAGACATTCAAAAGACCATGAAGACTGGCCAAGATGTCCTCACTTATTTAAGTGCACACACACAAGCCAGGCCAGCAGCCTGTGTTTGGGCTGCAGCTTTGAAGATGACATGGTTATATAATGCAGTATTTAGTGAATACGACCCAGGGTGACATTGAGACAAACACACATGCACACAGCATGAGGGCAAAGATAAACACATATATACCCATAAGCACACAAACACATGTAACATCTAAAAAAAAAAAGAGGAGCAAACAACATACACTAAGCAACTTACCTAATCACGTCTTTTAAGATAACCTAAACACCAACCAGCTTCTATCTAAGCCGTCCTGACTTTCCACAATCCTATATTACTGGTCAGCTCAGAACCATGTGCCATTCTAGCATACTGGAATGTCCTTCAGCCCCAGTAGTCAAGCTTTACACCTGCTCATAGGACAATAACTGGTACCACTTCTCTTATTAACAACAATGGCAGCTCCCTTGATAAAAGCAACATTTTGCTGCACTCGTTGGTCGATACCAGGGTCCTACAGGTGCTTGTTACTTCATCTAAACATACGATGCCTTGCAAAAGTATTCATACCCCTTGAATTTGTCCACATTTTGTCACATTGCAACCACAAACTTAAATGTATTTTATTGGGATTTTATGTGATAGACCAACACAAAGTATGAAGTGGAAGGAAAATGATACGTGGTGTTCAAGACTTTTTACAAATAAAAATGAGTGTTGGTTATTTATCAATGAATATTCATTTTATGACACTTTGACTGATAGAAACTTAAAAAGACAAAATTCTAACCGGACTTTCTTACAGCTGAAGGTAGCTTGTTTCTCATTTAATAAAAAGCACAACGCATGATATCTGTCAATCCTGGGTTATGAACACACAGGCTACAGCTGCTGCCACTACCTTTAAATCACCAGATAGAGTGCCATTCAGTTCTTTACATTAGACAGGTTAGAAAAGGTCAGATGGTTAGCACATACAAGGCTGTAAAGTTTAATATCTTCAGTTGAGTTCAAAGCAAACAAACGTGACAACGAACAGGTTTCCTTTAAAGGTAACCTGTATGGTTGTAATGTTGTATTTATGTAACTGTCTCTCTTGGTAGAGGTTTTTATCTCCTGAATTCCCAAATACCTTTCACAATGAAGAGGCAAAGTGAGATCTTGGCAGGAAAACTGACTGAGCATATGGTCCAGACTTCAACAGTCTGGCCATGCTACATATCGCCTGTCACCTTCTATCTGGAGGCCTGAACTGAGCCAGCGGGATGGAACTGTACAACCTGATGGCCAGTGACGCCATTTGGCCCGATGTGTCCTGTCCTGCCGCCACCTCAGCAAATGTACACACAAACAGGGGAACTCTGTTTTTAGCATTCCTTCACTCAAAACACTAAGGCTGCAGTATTTCTGCTTCCATGAGCAGGAAGGGGAGCCCCCAGTAAACACCCCTCAACACACATAATGTATACAGTCCACTAACAACCTGCCTCCTCCAACACACAATCTACCCCGGGTGATTTGCACAGAGGTGCTTCTATCATGATGGATGATACTATGTAAAGCTTGACTGGTTTGGAGGAGAGGATCTGTTGTGATCAGCTGTGCAGCACCACAGAACCACGACCTCTCTTCCCACCATTATACCGTATATTGCACTTTGCATGATTCACACATGGAAGACAGGGCCGTTATGTAACATACCCCAGAGAGTCTCCCACCCTCAGGAAATGTTATTCAGCACACTTGTCTGCAAAAACATCAGTTGAGCAACATACTGTATGAGCACAGCGCTGTTACACTCGGTGGTGTTTCACAGTCATCTATCTCTGACACTGTGGCCTTATGAGCAATTTGCTCTGAATGCAAAGCAATAAACCAGCCTGTCTTCCACATCAGATGCAGTATTATAAAATATTGGCACAGTATGTGGGCAAGGTGCCCCTAATTCCATTACCCAAAGTGCTTTCTCATGCATTCCTGAACAAAGCTCAGCCTGATAAATATGAACCAATCCCCAACCTAGGACTTCCCTGACCCACAGTCCTTTGCTTCCTTGAGTAATTTGAGAAGGTAAGTTGTTCAATATCCCCATTATTGTGTTTATTGGAGATAAGTCATTCACCAAAAAAAGCACTAAACAGTTTCTGTCTCTTCACTTTTGATATTTCAGATGAACTTGTAGGTGGCTTTAAGTGTGCTATACTCTAGTTCACACTGTGTGACAGCATTATACTGTAAATATACTATGTGCCTCTTCCAACTTACTACTGTCATGTTATTGTATGTGCATTTTACTTAAATTCACTCTGACTTAATTAGTATCATTGGAAACTTTGACATCTGCACCTGATTTCAAAATAAAATTCAGTGGTTTTGAATGATGTTCATGCTGGGTATCAGCAGTGGTGGCCTGATTTAATTTAGATTCACAGATGGACATTTTACATACCACGCAGTCCTAAGTGAACCACTCAGTAACCACTGCACGTCACTTAGCGTAGAAGTAAAGGCACAAATGCAAAGATAGATATCAGCAACCTGAGGATCAATATTAGATCACTCAATAAAAATGATGAATAATCAGAAAATCTATTCTATGTACACAATAAGTAAGTCACAGTTTAAGCAGAAGTTACTCTGTGAACAGATGGATGTTTAAAGACGACTTGGGTATATAAGTTTACTGTTTAGCATTAAAAGCATTAAACCCTGTAATGAGAATTAGGGATGGGCATTTCAAGCACCTCACCTTCAAATGGCTGTGCAGAGTTGTTCATTTATGATATGCTTAACCTGGCAGAGTTTGCACTGCACCTCATTTTCATGTATTCCCTTGAAGAACTTTTTGATGGCTGTAGTCTCTGCACGTTTCTGCTGTTTGGCACTGTAGTAAAATGATATACTGAAATCATTATTGCGCTTATTTCCAGGTACAGGTAAAAGCAAGAGAAAACAGCAGCTCTTTGTTTTGAAAGACAAAACCATAGTCACATGAAATATTTGATTTGTCACAACTATTCAAATATTCAAAAATCATTGCCCATCTCTAATAAGAACACATCCTTTGTTGGCCCTGACCACTTCTAGAGGAACTTTGGCAGCTACAGAGCCGAATACAACTGGACTTTATCAGAGAGAAGTGTTTGTTTTATAGCGGTAGTAATAACTTTTATCAGCTTCTGTCACCAAAAAACAGGAACCACTGCTCTCTGGCACAGCTTTGTATGACTGACAGCAATGAAGCCACAGTTTTACATTACAGTTTGAAGTTCCACATATGGTTAAGCTGTTTTAAGGAATAAAATATCTTCATAACTCTACAGAGCTCAGTTTGGGTAGAGTGTCGCACCACAGTGCCAGAGAGCGAACTACACAGCCTCCCATCACATGCTGCAATAGATGTGTGACAAGCAGAAGTGGCTGATGGCAGATAAGTTAGGTGCCAAATCTCAGCTGAGGCTGGCCAGTGTAAGAGCTGAGGGGAGTGCACATAATCTACTGGCTGCAGGCAACATTCCCAGGAGTTCAACACTACATCTCATGTGCAGAGGACAAGCCGGGGTTCTGGAAACAAAAAAAACTTACTCTGTCATCATGTCAGTGAACATAAAAGCAATGTGGAGCACCTTTTCCACTACATCTACCATCAAAGTCTAATGCACTTTCCAGTGAAGCCACTCACTTTCAGTAACAGCACAGAGGTCAAAGAGGGCACCTGAGCAATCTGTTTGATACCAATACCAGCACTACATTACAGGATGCTAAGTCTCACTTCATTGTCTGCACATATTCCTCTATTATTACTTTCATATCACAGCCTTATATCTACATTTCATGCTCACATAAATGCCAAGCCTTTAGTCCATCTTTCAAGACCTGACTGGGAGGCAGAGCCCAGAAAGTGGACAATGATAGGTTCAAACATACACAACAAAATAAACACTAAGAATCAGGGTGAAACCCAGGGAAGGAATTTGTCCTCCATGTGCACTTCAAGATAAAACTCAACACAATCTATATCAAACCAAACTGGGGCAACAAGAATATTTTATCAAGTTGGTTTGTCCTGAACTGGCAAGAATGGTCTGGAATTCGTGACTGTGTAAAATGGCATTGGGCATCTTGTTTTTAACAGATCTGTTCCATCTCTGCAGTGTTCACTGTCTATAGTTATTACGTTCTCATTATGTAGGCCCACTGCTTTATCCAGGGCTATGGAACTTTACCTTCTGCTTGGGTCTGCCTGTTATTCTATCACGTATGGAAAGAATACAACGCAAAACTCCATTAAAATATCGCACACTTTTATAATGCACTGCTCTATCACCAGTGTGCTTGGTTGATAAGCCCAGACTTAAGAGTGCCTGCAAATCTTGAACAGCTAACTTACAATGCGGCACACCCAGCAGCACAACCATGCAGAACCCCTGCTCTAAATCATTACTGTTATTCTACATAAGTCGCTACAACCTGTGCAGGGCTGATTCTGATTAGAAGAAGCAGCTGATGTGGATGAATTACAAAAGTAGAAGTTTCCAACAAATACAACGTGTTTGGTGGAATGTGCATCTGCTGATTATTATCAAAAGGTTTTGTGTCACCTTTGACTTAGAACATATCTTGGTCAATAAGCACCTTACTCAGTGAGGTCTGGTTTAGCCACGTTGTAAAGGGCTGCCACAGTCTGTTGTGAATGAAGATATTCAAAGTTAAACACATGCAAAAGGAACTTGGATTCACACAGTGCAGACCAGAGCTTAGAATTTAACAACAATATTAACTAGTGTGCTCAGTTTGCTGGAAGGGGTGCACTTGACAGCTGAGATAAGGAAGCAGCAGCAGCACTGAACATGCACAGCAGAGCCTGACGTTTCCTGAAACGTTACGCGCTGGCATGGGTATGATTAGAACAAGACTACGGAGCCATTTACAGACAAACAGGGATACCCCACAGCAGGCATACAGGCTCATCTGCAAGTGAAAGCAAGTACGCATCAAAACGATGAAGCGATTCAGGTTTTCAGACATCACGAGGAGAATATACCCTCAGCTTTGAGCCATTCAAACAAACTGAAATGCTCTGCAAAACGGTGTTCAGAATCGTCAAATAACAAGTCTCCGACGTGTAAAGTGACAGCCTGCGTTATGAGAAGACAATATCAATAAGAACATACATACACACAACATCCCGAACTGGCAGGACAGGGGGGTTGCTCCTCACTACTATTTGCGTCGTACGTTTTGCTCCAGACTGTGGTCCTAATGCAGTAGTGCGCAGGCGCATACGGACACGAACACAGAGCGACCCAGTGACGTCGTCAACATTTCCTGTGCAGTATATGATTAACGGTGACGTGCAGACGGACCTAATAACGAAAATTTGAGAAGAAATATTTTGATGTAAGATTAAATAGGGTTTTTTTTAATCAATGAACTCCACTCGCACAACTTGGTGCATTCCTGGTTATTTACCATAACATAAGTTTATCTTAAAAGGTTTAAATACATCCATAAAACAAATACTATAACCACAGCGAAGAATAAATTGCTTATTTTTTAATGTGCGTTGGTCGGAAATGGGTTTAATTTAAATTGCGTTAAGCCTCAGATCCCAAGAAGGTAACAAGAAGAGAGATGTTTGGGTCAGATTAACACGAACTGGTTAAGGTTAGAGAGAACACTAGACACCACTCCCCCGAGAATCTGCTCCTGGGTTTTGGGATCTAAGGCAAACCTGGAGCAGGCTCTGATCCAGAACGGTTTTCCTTCACACAGGATGATGCATTACCTTTTCTCTGTGGTGATTTTTAACATTTTACACAGCTTTAGAATAGTTTAGGCGACAGGATACATAAATTAACATTTATTGCTTGTAATGTTTCAAACCATGCAAATGGGGTGTTGTAAAAAGACACATTTTTCTTTCTTTAATTAGGTAGGTAGGTAGATACTTTATTGATCCCTCAATGGGGAAATTTCAGTGTTTCAGCAGCAATGGAGAACAAACAACATAAAACCATGAGAAACAAACACCACACACATATCTTGATAACACAAAGCAAACACTGGAAAACTTAATAAAAACATGAAAGAAACACGATGAGACCAGAGCTGCTGAAACTTGCTGCCACTCCGTGCACAGAAATGTTGCTAATGTAATGGAACATGAACAGTGTGAATGCAGAGTTATGCAATACAAAGGCACATAAAAAAGATACTTATGTGGAATACCCCATTCTAAAGCAGAGATAAGGTGTCTAGCCAGTAATTAACCAAGCCCAGTTAGTTATCATAAGGAGGCATAAAATATTCTCTGACTTGGCACCAGTACAAATAGTATGACCAGTTCCCAGAGATTACTTCCCAGCTGTGGCCTTCACTGCTGCTGCTAACTGTTCCAGTTTTTGAGGGAGGGTGATCGTAGCAAAGTGGACCCGGTCCTTCTTCAGTTCCTGTCTCACGGTCTGTGTCAGGTCCAGCTCCATGTACTCCTGCTTCTGCATGTCATGCTGAGGCCAAGTGAAGAGACCTGGACCACTGGGAGAGCTAAAGAGATATTCAATCATGCCAGTTACAGACATATGGGCAGTCTGTATGTAGCAAAGAAAATGATTTATTGCTATTGATTTCATAAGGTCAGCCTTTCAAACAAATCTCTGTACCGCTATAATAATTTATAACGCAGCTACCTCACATGCACATAAGCAATTTTTCACTAAACATTTATTTAATCTTCTCTAGTTAATTATGTTATGTAAACAGTTGTGTAAAGTAACTAAGTACATTTACTTAAGTACTGTACAATTCTGAGGTATGCGTACTTTACTCAAATATTTTTATTTTGTGCTAATTCATACTTTGACTTCACTACATTTTAGAGACAAATATTGTACTTTTTACTCCACTACATTTATTTGATAACTTTACTTTACATCTCAGAATTAGAATGATTACATAGAAGAAAATATAGTGTAATCATAAGAGTTCATTGATCTCTGGTGAGAAATTCACAAGCTACCAGCATTAATTTAAGTTATAAGCATACAGTGAGGAACAGAAGTATTTGAACACCCTGTGATTTTGCAAGTTCTCCCACTTAGAAATCATGGAGGGGTCTGAAATTCACATAGTAGGTGCATTCCCACTCTGAGAGACAGAATTAAAAAAAAAATTCAGGAAATCACATTGTATGATTTTTAAAGAATTTATTTATCTTGCACTGCTGAACATAAGTATTTGAACACCTGAGAAACAGCAAGAATTCTGGCTCTCAAAGACCTGTTACTGTGCCTTGAAAAAGTCCACCTCT